GGGAAGTAAGTCAGAAGGAAAGGAACAGAATTGGAAGGATTAACATCATCCAAGTGGCAACTCTCTCTCAAAGCATTATACAGATTCAATGCAGTTCCTGTAAGAATACCAATGACATTTTTCAAGAAAATAGATCAAACATTACTGAAAAGCATCTATTATAATAACTCGTTCCCATTCCTCTTCCCATCCTCACTCCAGACCAAAGCAATACTTGGATAAAATAAATGAGAGGCATCAATTTCCCCAACTTCAAACTGTATAATAAAGCAATAGTAATTAAAACAGCATGGTGCTGAAATACAGACAGGCCTTCTGATGAATGAAGAAAATTGAAAATCCAGAGACAGACCCTCAGGCATATAGTCAGTTAATCTTCACAAAGGAGCAAAAATTATGAAGTGGAGCAAAGAATGTCTTTTCAGAAAGTGGTGATGGAAAAGTGGAGAGTCACATGCAAAAAAATTTGAACTTATACCTCTTTGTAATGCCATCTACAATAGTCAAATCAAAATGAATTAAAGATATTAGAACTAAATTAATAAGGCATATATAGAAAAACATAGGCAGAACTTCTCCTCCATGAAATGAAACTAGAAGGATCTTTAGAGAAAACATGTCACTGACCAAGCAAGTAGAAACAAACATAAACAAATGGTACTACATTAAATTAAGAAGCATCTACACCTCAAAGACCAGAATACAAAGACATCCCATAGACTGGGAGAAATTACTTGCCCATCACACATCTGATAGAGGGTTAACATCGAAGATATATAAAGCACTGGTAGAACTTTACAAGAAAAAAAATTCACCCCATCAATATAATGGGGAGAAAAGGGGAACAGAAACTTCCTCAAAGAAGAAATACAAATGGTCAAAAGGCACATGAAAAAAATGCTCTGCATCACTAATCATTAGGAAATGCAAATCAAAACAACAATGAGATATTACCTGACACCAGAGAAATGGACATTTGTCACAAAGAAAAATAATCAGAGCTGGCATAGATGCTAAGAAAAAGGGACCCTCATTCACTACTAGTGGGAATGTCGACTGGTCCAGCCCTTTTGGAATACAATATGGACATTCCTCAAAAAACTAGGAATTCAGCTTTCATACAACCCAACAATTCCAATCCTGGGAATATACCCCAAGGGCCATTGCAGAAAAGCACACTGCAGAAAAGACATCTGCACTCCTCTGCTCATTGAAGCACTATTCACAATTAGCCAAAATCTGGAAACAATCCAAGTGCACAAGAACAGATGACTGAATAAAGCAGCTATGGTACATCTACATAACAAAATACTACTCAGCTGTAAGAAGTCATGCTGCTATGTCAGTGGATCTGGAGAGTATTATGTTAAGTGAAGTTAGTCAGAGGGACAGGCACAGAATGATCTCCAATAGTGGGGTACAGAGAACCTTCACTAGGGAATAAGAAAGGTGGAAAAAAGGCAACAGAACCAAAGCTGGAGAACTGGTCTTCAGTAGGAAGCTTGCCACTCGGGTAAAGGTGAAGGGATAAAAATACCAATCCTTCACAAATTCTTCCAGAAAATAATAAGGAGAAATACTTCCCAGCTTTCTTTATAAAATCTTTATTACCCTGCTATCACCAAAAAAAAAAAAAATCACAGATCCATAACAAATATAGATGGAAAAATCACTAACAAAACAGTAGCAAATCAAATACAGCAACATATAAAATGAATTATGAACCACAATTAAGTGAAATTTGTTCAAAAAAATACAAAGTTGACTAAAAATTTTGAAATTTAATTACATAATGCATATTAGGGGAAAGGGCAGGAAATTTGGGCCGGAGTAAGGTAAGGTAAGTGTGTAAGCCTTGTAAGCCTGTAAGGTAAGCATAGCAGGTAAGGTAAGCTTGCCTTGCACACAGCTGACCCAAGTTTGCTCCCCAGCACCACCTGTGGTCCTCCAAGTACCTTGGGAAGTAATATCTAAATGCGGAGCCAGTAGTAAACCCTAAGCACTGCCAATGTATCCCCAAATACACACACAGACACACAGACACACAGACACACATAGGAAATCCTATATGATCCGTTAGAAATCATCAAATATTATTAATTTGTAATACAGTGATTTCATGTAATCTTACTTCTTCCAACATGTTTATCTTGTTTACAATTTGCTTTTAAGAAATGCTGCTATCTTTTATGTGTACAGCATGCTTCTGAGCACAAATACACAAATTTTGTGATTTCAGGAAAAATGTGAGTAAGTCTTTCCCATAAGTACAAAATTAAAAAAGAAACCAAGTCTGTTGAAGAGGCTTTCCCTGCTCCATTTCACTTTTCTTGCCCCCTTATCAAAAATTAGATGATTATATGTTTGGGAGGAAATGTCAGTATATTCAACTCTGTTCCATTGGTCTGCAGCTCTGCTTTTGTTCCAGTACCATGCTGTTTTAATTATTACTGCCTTGTAGTAGAGTTTGAAGTTAGGGAGGTTGATTCCTCCCATTTTCTTTTTCCCAAGAATTGCTTTAGCTATTCGTGGGGGCTTATTGTTCCATATAAATTTCAGGAGTGTTTGCTCCATTTCTTTGAAGAATGTCATGGGTATCCTTATAGGGATTGCATTGAATTTGTATAGTGCTTTGGGAAGTATTGCCATTTTGATGATGTTGATTCTCCCCATCCATGAACAGGGGATATTTTTCCATTTCCTCGTGTCCTCTTTTATTTCCTGAAGTAGCGTTTTGTAGTTTTCCTTGTACAGGTCCTTTACTTCCTTAGTTAAGCTGATTCCTAGATACTTGATTTTCTGGGGCACAATTGTGAATGGGATTGTTTTCTTTTTTTTTTTTTTTTTTTTTTTTTTTTTTTTTTTTTTTTTTCCCCCTTTATTTTATTTTATTTTTTTTAAAGTTGTAGATTTACAATTTTTTGTGCTTTGGTTTCAATTATACAATGATCAGATACCCATCCCTCCACCAGTGCCCATTTTCCACCACCATGGATAATATCCCTCCCACCCCCATCCCCCCATCCCCCCGTCTCTGTGGCAGGGCAATCCCCTGTGTCCTCTCTCTCCTTTTGGGTGTTGTGGTCTGCAAAAGAGGCATTGAGTGGCAAACATGTTCAGTCCATAGTCTACTTTCGACATGCATCTCCCCTCCTGGGAGGATCCTCCAAACATCCTTTATTTGGTGCTCCCTTCTCTATCTGAATAGCCCTTTCCTCTAGGATACCCGGATTGTTTTCTTGATGTCACTTGCTGGCAAAATTGGACGGCTACATGCAAAAAAGTGGGCTCAGATCTCTGCCTAACACCATGCACAAAAGTAAGATCAAAATGGATTTATGACCTCAACATCAGACCAGAATCCATAATGTTTATTGAAGACAAAGTCGGCAAAACTCTCCATGATATTGAAGCTAATGGTATCTTCAAAGATGTCACGCCACTGGCTGAGCAAGTGAAAACAGAGATAGACAAATGGGACTATCTTAAACTAAGAAGCTTCTGCACCTCCAAAGAAACAGTGACCAAAATACAAAGACAGCCTACAGAATGGGAAAGGATATTCACCAAGTACACATCCGACAAGGGGTTGATATCAAGGATATACAAGGTACTGGTTAAACTCCACAAGAAGAAATCACCCAACCCCATCAAAAAATGGGGTGAGGAAATGAACAGAAACTTTCGCAAAGAAGAAATTCGAATGGCAAAAAGGCACATGAGAAAATGCTCTACATCACTAATCATCAGAGAGATGCAGATCAAAACCACAATGAGATATCATTTCACACCACAGAGACTGGCCCACATCCACAAGAACAAAAGCAACCGGTGCTGGCGCGGATGTGGCGAGAAAGGGACCCTCCTTCACTGCTGGTGGGAATGCCGGCTGGTCCAACCCTTTTGGAAAACAGTATGGACGACTCTCAAAAAATTAGAATTTGATCTGCCATTTGACCCAGCTATAGCACTCCTGGGAATATATCCCAGAGAGGCAAAAAGGTATAGTCAAAGTGACATCTGCAATTGTTTGTTCATTGCAGCACTCTTTACAATAGCCAGAATCTGGAAAAAACCTGAGTGCCCAAGAACAGATGACTGGTTAAAGAAACTTTGGTACATTTACACAATGGAGTACTATGTAGCTGTTAGAAAAGATGAAGTTATGAAATTTACATACAAGTGGTACTACATGGAAAGTATCATGTTAAGCGAAATGAGTCAGAAAGAGCGGGATAGACACAGAAAGATTGCATTCATCTGGGGAACATAAAGCAACAAAAAGTGAGAGTGACACACAGGAATGGCTGAGATTAGTACCAGGAATTTTGCCCCATGAATGGAAGGCCAGCCACAGGCTCTAGGTGAAAAGGAAGCTCAGATAGAGAAGAGATTACCAAATGAAGGGTGTTGTGAGGGCCCTCCCAGGGTGGGAGAAGCATGCTAAAAGTAGTCGATAGACCAAACATGATTGCCACTCAAAGCCTCTCTTGCAAAACACAGTACCCAAAAGAAGAGAGAGAGAACAAGGGGGAATACCCTGCCACAGAGGCAGGATGGGACGGGGGGGGGGGGATGAGGGGGGGGGATGCTGGGACCCATGGGGATGGATGACGGGCACTGGTGGAGGTATGGGGACTTGATCATTGTATAACTGAAACCCAAGCACAAAATTTGTAAGCCTATAACTGTACCTCATGGTTTTTCACTAATAAAAAAAAAATATATAAAAAAAAAAAAAAAAAAAAAAAAAAGAAACCAAGTCTGCCCAAGAATTTACTCCTATTTTTTCCTTAAAGAAGCACATTTTAAATAACTAAAATTAAATCATAGTGTGGTAGCAAATGTGTTGATGTACAGAAAAATGACTAAGTAAAGAAATGTTGTATATATAATTTTTCTTTTGCCAACTCTATCTTCCTACAAAATATTATCCCCATAAATACTCTATTTATACCATACATAATTGAAAAATATTTAGGAGCTAGTAAATCCTCTACCTTGTTGGGAGCAAGAATCCTCTGCCTGAATTTTTCAACCACTTCTTGGCCCATAGAAGACCACGCGTTGGCAAATGCTTCTGCTTTGCCTTGATTAAGATGAATGTTCTCTAACTGCTGCTGCAGAGCAGCCGGCTTCATGCTGTGATAGACTGCCTGTTGGAGAGGGGAAAGGTATATTCATACACACATGCAATACTGAATATGTATACACAAGCTGAACTATAAGCAAATATAAAATAATTTTTGGGGCTGGAGTGATAGCACACCAGGAAGGGCATTTGCCTTGCACACAGCCAACCCGGGTTCGATGCCAACCCGGGTTCGATTCCCAGCACCCCATATGGTTCCCTGAGCTACTGCCAGGAGTAATTCCTGAGTGCAGAGCCAGGAGTAACTCCTGTGCATCGGCAGGTGTGATCCAAAAAGCCAAAATATATATAATAATTTTTAATGATTCAAAGCAAAAGAGTATTTTATGTTTCACTGCAGAAATGTTTTTTTTTTCAAAATAAATAATAATATTTATACAACCAGTAGTTGGAAAAGTCAATGGCTTACCTTCTTCCAGTTACCTGTTTCCATTTTCGCCTGAAGTTTAAGTAATCCTAAATCTGCTGAATCAAATTTCTTTGCTTTAATTACATAAATGAGTCTCTATTAAAACTGTGTTTCATGGCTTTATTTCAATGACAATGACAAAGGTTTTGCTTCCAAGTAACAAAATGTTTCTACTTTCTCAAAACTACTTTCCCTACCAACTTTATAGGTAATGTTTTAAAAACAAACGAAAAAGATCTACATTTGTCCAACAGGGATATCTGTTCTATTTCTTGTGTTATCCTAGAATAACTGTGTCATGAACCCCCTGCCATTCTGTCCTATGCAATCATTTGTTTCTTCTGCCCAGAGTCAGCACACTTCATCTGTCTGAGTCATTAGTGGAGGAAAGCTGTCTGCTGTACATGCCCGAATATAATAATGCAGGAGCTTATTCTCCCCACAGGTTCTGATCACTAGAACAGTCCTGCAGCAACAGTACTATCAAAACTGTTATTTCACTAGTATCCTACTATAATAAGTCAACAGAAACTTCTTGGGAACTAATTTAATTCCACCAATGCACTAAATTTACCTCAGATGCACAAAATCATGATGATCTGAACTCCCAAACTCAAAATCTAGTGATAGAGATCTAAAAGGCAGGCGACACAATTGACTCAGGAAAGAAAAACTAGGCTAGGTTCTCTATTTGGATGAGCAGAGGATCTAAGGTACTACCAAATCAAGGGAAGACTGCAAGTATGGGGGTCACGGCTACAGAGAGAGAAGAGTGGGGTGGGAAGTAAATCATGAAGCAATTTTAAATGAGAAAAAGGGGCACAAGAGCGGTTCACTGGAGTACAACAGAAGGTCATATGAGATATGACAGAAGTCCTCTCACAACTGCTTCTATTTAAAATATTTTAACATCTTGGGGCTGGAGTGATAGCACGAGGCCAACCCAGGTTCCATTCCCAGCATTCCATATGGTCCTCCGAGCACTGCCAGGAGTAATTCCTAAATGCATGAGCCAGGAGTAATCCCTGTGCATTATCAGGTATGACTCAAAAAGCAATAAAATAAAATATTTTATCATCATAGTCAAGTAAGTCCTCCCAAATAACTCCTTAAATCTCTTTAAAAAAAAAAAAGTTCAGGGCCAGAGTGATAGTACAATGGGTACGGCGTTTGCCTTGCCCACAGCCAACCCAGGTTCAATCCCCAGCACCCCATATGGTCGCCCAAGCAAATCCAAAAGTCATTCCTGAATGCAGAACAAGGAGTAATCCCTGAGCATACCTGGGTGTGACCCAAAAAAGAAGAAAAGAAAAATTTTTCCAAATTTTTTTATGAAGCAATGCATTAAAATCTTTTCTGTCTCAAGTTCACAAAGTCCTGGTTCATACTGTCAGGTTGTCAAATACTTCATTCATGTTACACAATAAAAGACTGCTCAGAGGAATGTAATAATATACAATGAAATCTATATTCGAATGCTTAATATATTGAACTTCTTGTGTAGATTCTTGATATCCTTGATTAAAATATCTTTACAGCTTCCACCTGCATGCAATTTTTTTTAATATTACTGATATGATAATTCAAACATACCAAACAGACCATGGTTAGGAAATTCAGGGCAGTAAAATACCTGTTCCAAAATGAATGATATTGTTTCAAGAACTAGATGAAGATCTTGTTTCTCTAAAGAAAATGCAGCTTGAAGTTTTTCTTCCTCTTCACCACTGAAACTGTTCTCAGTCTGCAACATATAAACCAAGTCATTAGCATACCTTCAGGATTTCAAACTTAAAAAAAAAAAAAAGTAAACCCATGGAGAAAAAAAACTGGTATGTTTGTCAAATTTCATTATTTCAAAATCAGTTCCATATTTAGACCTTGCCAAAGAAAATTCAACCTGGATCAACCACATGTAAGGCAAGTACCCTACCTACTGTACTACTGCTCCAATTCAAAAATCCATTTTTTTAAAGTATCTGAAATCAGTGATTTTCAAAAGGCAAAAAATAACAGTAAATTGCTTAACATCTAAACATTTAGAAAAAAAATGAGGGACAGTGCCAAAAAGTTAATAGTATAGTGATTTTATCTTCATTCACTAAAAACTAGAGTATCTACTGTATTTTACAAAGACCCAGTTCATGTCTTCAGGCATACTACAGCCCAGTTAGAAAGAAAATTTTAAAAAAATATTCAGGGGGCTGGAGTGATGGCACAGTGGGTAGGGAATTTGCCTTGCACGCGGCCTGACCCGGGTTTGATTCCCAGCATCCCATATGGTCCACCTAGCATGGCCAGGAGTAATTCCTGAGTGCATGAACCAGGAGTAACCCCTGTGGATCTCTGGGTGTGACCCAAAAAAAAGCAAAAAAAAAAAAAATTTAGGCTGTAGAGATAGCACAACAGGTAGGGTGCTTGCCTTGTACAAAGCTAACCCAAGTTGATACCCTGCACCATTTACAATCCCCGGGAATCTACCAGGAGTGACCACTAAGTAGAGCCAGAAGTAAGCCACGAGCATTTCAAGGTATGGCCTAAAAACCAAACAAAAAAAAACAAACAAACAAACAAAAAAACCTTGTTTGGCAAGGCCCAACCAGCATGGCATCCTTAGGCCCTAGTATTGAACCATTGAACCAATTTAGCCACCAGAACTGCAGCCAGGCTAACCCTCCACCCCCGTAACATCTGGAAGGAACCTCTCACCCGGCTACATTCACAGACCAAAAAAAAATATGTCTTAAAATAATAATTTTTCAAACAATTTAATTTTTCATGTGTTCTGAAAAACTATGTGTTACTGTGACAGCACTAAGAAGGAAATTACATCCTTTTTATAATTTCATTATTTTCCAAAACTGCACACATTTCCTATCATTTCCAAAATGATCTTCTTGATGTAAAGAAACTGGTTTATAGAGTGTGAAATATGTATGCTGTTACAACTGCTTTTAAATGAAAATGTTTATCAACATACACTGAAAATAACTTGCATCTCCCCAACAGCAAGAAGTTTCAGAAGTTCCCTGAGTACCCTGCATTGCAGTTTAGAACAGTATACACGCATGGTTGCTAGACTAAAGCAGGAACAGCCCTCTAAGCTGGAACATCAGGGTTTTGAAGACGAGTGACCAAAGCTTCCAGTCTCTACTACCTGTTTTAGGGCTAACAAGAGCTTAAATCCCCTCCACCATACTGCCCACTACTTACCTCATAAGCAATGTTTTGAAGTCTAAGCTCCAGAATTTGTGACTATACACCCTCTGCAAGGGCTGGAGTGATAGCACAGTGGGTAGGGCACTTGCCTTGAACACGGCAGACCCAAGTTCGATTCCTCCACCCTTCTTGGAGAGCCCGGCAAGCTACCAAGAGTATCTCACCTGAACGGCAAAGCCTAGCAAGCTCTCTGTGACATATTCAACATACCAAAAACAGTAACAACAAGTTTCACAATTTGTTGTGAGATGTTACTGGTGCCCACTGGAGCAAAATTGATGAACAATGGGAGGACAGTGATACAGTGCTACACCCTCTTGAAATAAATGAGATACAGCACCAGATTTTATCCAGATGAGGAATATCAGTAATATTTATGTCTACTCTCCAAACTATACAAGTCACAGTCAATTCAGTGTAGACAAAGACAGATACCTCTGCTCATAAGCAGATAAAACTTGGTAACATCACACTGACAAGCTGGTAATACCTGAAATAGTTACCAAATCCCTAAACCTCTTCACTGGCCCACTTAACTGTTTCACTGCTCCAAGGGTTCAGCATGACAAAGCCCAAGTAAATACACCAAGCTGTAAGGGAGAAAACTGACAGCCTGAACGTCAATTCAAACAGAATTTGGTAAAAGCCAGATTACAACAGAAGTCCTCTAGCATCCTATTTCTACATCTACTAGTGGGGGAGGGGTAACTATACTTTTCCTGAATTTCATTTTCAGCAAATATTCACACCTTGGTTTCTATCCTTAGTTATCTCAGCTCCCCTCCCCATCGGCAATGGCTTAGCACTCCAGCATCTCTAAGCAAAGTTTCTGCCATCCTGTAACTCTTAAGACAAATATTCTCAAGTCCAGAAGTCACTGAGAGGGTCAAAGGGAAAACTAACGCAACACAATTCCCACTGCAAATGGCCCATCCTCCTTCATGAGAAACAGAAGATAGAAGTGCTTCTTATCCCAATTTGTTTTGCATGTTCGAGACTGCAGCTGCAGCTTGGGAAATTAAAGCAGAACCTCAGCATCCATAGCCTCCATCATTGCCTTTTAGCCCAATGATACATGATTTTACCCACTTTCCTAGAATCACCTTGGTTGGAAGAAGAGATTCTGGAAACAGATATCCTACTAGCCAGCTATGAGACCAAGGCAAACTATGTAACTCTATCTTTAGCTCAATTTCAGCTCAATCTCAGTTTCCTCATGGAAAATGATAACAGACCTACTTGTTCAAGGTGTCGTTAACAATCAGGTGGTTTAATAGTTCTAAGCTATTTAACAGTCCCAGTCCCATAGGGAGTAATGTAACTGTCACCAGCAAATGCCATAGAATATACATAGAATATAGCTGCTTTTGTTTCTGCTGTAGCTCTCTCTCTCTCTCTCTCTCTCTCTCTCTCTCTCTGTGTGTGTGTATGTGTGTGTGTTTGTGTCTCCATCATAAAAGGCAGGCATTTATTTATATTTCCCTGGAAAGGAAAAGAATTAACTTTAAAAATAGGCACAACCCCTAAATAAAAAATACTGATGAGGGGTTGGAGAGACAGCACAGTGGGTAGGGCGTTTGCCTTGCACACGGCTGGCCCGGGTTCGATTCCCAGCATCCCATATGGTTCCCTGAGCACTCCCAGGAGTAACTCCTGAGTGCAGAGCCAGGAGTAACCCCTGTGCATTGCCAGGTGTGACCCAAAAAGCAAAAAAAAAAAATTGATGATTTACATTAGGTATAAGAATTACAAAGATGATGAGTAAGATATGATACCCAGAAATGAACACTTGTGCCACTTTACTAAAGTGATGTGAAACTGAACTCAGAGTTTTAGAAGCATAGAGGACAGAATAACAAAACTGCTGAGAGTGCAACTGTGAAATCCTTGAAGGAATATTTTTTTCACTGAAAAGAGAAGGACATCTACTGGTAAGAAAAGGAGTCCCCAAAGCTCATGGGGGCCCAGACAGAGGGCACAGAAGTTAAGACATTTCTCCTGCATATAAGCTGACCTTGAGTCAATCCAAGACATGGCACATGGTCCCCAAGCACCACCAAGAGTGATCCCGAGCGCAGAACCAGGAGCAAGCCCTGAGCACTGCTATGTGTCTCCCAAAACCAAAAACAATTCAAAAAGAAAAATGGAATAGTATATGAAGAAAGGAGTAGACTATTGACAGCAAATCCAGTTTAGAGGTAATGAGTGCATAACACCGAAAGATAGTAGAGATAAGGGCCAGGAGGATCACTCCATGGCTTGGAAGCTAGTCTCACATGCTGGGTGAAAAGGCAGCTGGGATAGAGAAGGGACCACTAAGTAAATGATAGTTGAAGGGCTGGTTCAGTATGGGACATGCATGCTGAAAGTAGACTATGGACAAAACATGATGGCCGCTTAGTACCTGTACTGCAAACCATAACACCCAAAAGGAGAGAAAGAGAGAGTAAGAGGGAATGTGCCTGCCACTGAGGCAGGGGGTGGGAAAGGGTGGGAGTGGTGGGAGGGATACTGGGAACACTGATGCTGGCCAATGGTCACTGGTGGAGGGATGGATACTCAATTATTGTATGACTGAAATGTAATCACAAAAGTTTGTAAATCTGTAATTGTATCTCACAGTGATTCATTAAAAAAATTTTAAAAAATAAAGCTGAATAACCCTAGTCTCCTACAAAAATACATGAGCATAAATATAACCGTACAGTAAAAAATTATGATTATATAGCTGTTTAAAAATAATTAACGTTTCATTTTTTTTAAAAAAAGATGTAATGAGTGCAATCTAAGAGATAGAAAATAAAAGTCCATCCAAGACTATGAGGCAAATATGGATTTAAGAAACACAGCAGAAGGAAAAGGGATTTTGGACTGATAAACAGGAACAAGAAGAGGAAAGTACAAAGCTAGAGAGATGGAACAGTGGGAGGGTATTTGCCTTGCACACGGTCAATGCAGGTTCAGTCCCCAGCATCCTATATGGCCCTCTCAGCCCCTCCAGGAGGGATCACTGAGCATACAGTTAGGAGTAAGCCCCAAAAATCGTTGGGTGTAGCACCCTCAAAAACATTTTTTTAAACAAGAAAAGGAACAAAAAGGAAGAAGAAGACAATGTAAGGGTTTTCATACAACGGTGATGCCTGGTACCAGGGAAGCAGTTCATGGGTACTCCATCAACCAGCCAGGGGTGGAATTACATCTTTCTCATTTGGTTAGGTTTTTTGTTTATTAAGATTTTGGGGTGACTCCCCATGTTGCTCAGTGCTGACTCCTAACTCTGTGCTCCAGATCACTCCCGAAAGGCTCAGAAAACAATCAAGCCTGAGTCAGCCATGTGGAAAGCAAGCACTCTACCCACTATACTACTGCTTTGGCCTTGGAATTAGATCTTTATATCAAGATAAAGAAACTGGACTGGAGACCAAATAGTGAATTACTAAACATCAATGCACCCAAAATAACCATACTCTTGAAGTAAAAGTGGAACATTAATTGAAAGATTAAACACCAACTAAACATGAATTTTCACAGAAATATTTTTAAGAGAAAGAAAGCATGAAATCCAAATTTCCTGATATATGTTTAAAATATTGTACACCACATGACCCTGAATTTTCCTATAAACAACATACAATGTACTCTGGTGAGTTCCATAACAATAATTTAAGAAAAAAAATCTGGGTTTGCTCTTCAAGTCTGTGTTCTCCAATGAACACATATTACTCTCTATCTCTCCCCTCACATCTTTCTAAGCAAATTCCATTCAATAAAAACTATCTTGTTTCAAAAAAAAAAAAAGGAAGAGGAAGAAGACACTTTAGACATTCAAAAACTACTAACCTTCAGGTGAAGTCTTTGAAGAATTCGTGTGAGCAATCGAGGAAATCTTCCTATATCTATCTCATTTATCAGCGACACTGCTTTTTTCGTGCTAAATTGAATTTTTAAAACAAGGTTTTAAATTAGTTTTACAAGAATAAAATTATACCTACAGTAAGTTGCCTATAACTATAACTGTGTATACATGTTTAACACTTTGTATTACTATATGATACTACTCAATAAAATAAAGAACATAGTTCAGGGATTAAGGTCCATGCCTTGCAACTGGCTGACCTCCAGTGGATCTCCAGCACCATATATTGTCCCCCAGCATTGCCTGGTGTGATCCTGGAGCCCTGGGTCATCCCTGGCATCACAGGGATGTGAGCAGCACTTCATTCCTGGGTCTTGCTCTGACCTATGAGTGAGTTAAGCCAGGGATGGCCCCAAGACCACTTATAAACCCTCTACACCCCACCACACACAAAAATAGAAACCGCTGGAGAGCGCTATTGCCAGACTGGAACACATAAAATTAATCAGGAACACAATCGGCTGGAACACATTAAAACATGGGATTGGGGGGCTGGAGCAATAGCACAGCGGGTAGGGCGTTTGCCTTACATGCAGCCAACATGGCCGACACAGGTTTGATTCCCAGCATCCCATATGGTCCCCCGAGCACCGCCAGGAGCAATTCCTGAGTGCGTGAGCCAGGAGTAACCCCTGAGCATCGCCGGGTGTGACCCAAAAAGCAAAAAAAAAAAAAACATGGGATTGGGGGGGTGGGGTGGGGGGATGGGCACAGGATCGGATTCCTGATACCTCTACCTGTGCCCCGTCCCTGTGGAAAGTACTTCTAGTGAAGCATCCATTTAGCAGTGTCTCTTTCTTTGAGGCAAGGCAAACTCTTGGGGGAAGGCTGTACTCTGATGGAAATGGGATTAATTTAGCATCGGGGTTCAATGCCTTCACTTTCTCCAAACGAAACTAAAGAAAGAGCAGGAGCATGGGTAGCGACAATTGAGGCTATGACACCAAAAACAGAAAGTCCGATTTCACGGGTTAAGAATGCAGAGTTTTTAAAATACTTCCAAAACCATGGGGGGGGGGGGGGGGGAACACTAAGTCCAGTTTTTTACCTAGCTTCAATGGTAATGAGCCACTTTCAAAACTCAGGTAATCCAGGAAGACAGAAAAATTAGAATGAGAATGATCACCCTCTTCTAGAAGATGCTTGCCTCAGTAAAAAATAAAAGGTGAAACAAAATAGCTCCCCACCCAATCCAGAAACAAAAGAAGCTACTTCCCACCTCTGTGATTTGTCTGCATCCACTTCTACACCCCACCCCCTCACCCCACCCCACCCCACCCCCGCCGCACACAATTATTTGTCATTAAATGCAGTCATTTTCGAAATCATTTTATTTGAAAAGAGAACATTTCTTCACCACTGACGAAAACTGACCCCAACAACCACCAGTAGAAATTCAATGAAAAGAAAGAAAATGGAAACAAACAAACAAAAAAAAAACCAACGCCACCCAACTCTGGCTAGCTCGTCTCTGAGCAAGCTAGTTTACCCTATTGAAGAAGGGTGTTCGCCTGCATTGTAAAACCGTAGTCCGCCCAATAATCATCACCCCCGCCTGCCACGCCCACTTTAAGGAACAGCAGCATTCGTTTTTAAAGAGTCACAAAACGGGCGTAAGTAAGATTTTGCAAAATTTAAAAGGGAAAAAAAAAAGGTGTAAGATCTGCGAGGATTTTGCATCCCGTGCACGGCCGGTGGAAAGGGAGACGCGATGCCTTTGCACGTGCTGGGGCGTCGCCCGACAGGCCGGGCGCTGTCGGGGCCACGCTAGGGCAGGCACGGCCGCAGGGCGCGCTGAGGACCCCCGACCCGGAACACCAGGCTGCAAGCGGCGAGACGCCCCTCCCACCCCCAGGGACCCCTCTCGGCGCCGAGGCCATAGCCCACGGGTCCGTCCCTGCGCGACTCATTTCGCGCCTCCCGGGGCCGGCTACCTGGGGTTCTCCCGCAGGAGCAGAGGTGCGGGCGCCGCCATCTTCGAAGCGTCCCTACGGGTCAGCTGACCCGCGCGCAGCCAATGGCGGCGCGGCGGACGGGGAGCCGGAAGGGCCAACGCCCGCGGCGGCGGCGCCTGACAGCGGCTTCTAGGGGATGCGGGACCCGTGGGGCAATAGGGCGCGTGGGCCTCCTGGCCTCTCCAACCGTACTGAATAATGCCGTGCCCCCTAGATTTATTTGGGCTGATATACTGCCGTGTTCTCTGGGTGACTTTCGTGGATATAAGTTTGTTTTATGTTGTATGTGCCTGGGGATCGCTCCGTGGCGGTGGAGGTGGGGGGCGTCAGTAGGCAGGGGTGGGCGACACCGTGCGATGCTGGGGTTCGGACTCCCTTCCGCGTTCCAAGCATACATTCCTGCGTTTGTCCCCGGCTAGATGATTCTTTTAAAAATAAGGTCGAGGGGCATTAGAGATAGTAAAGCTGGTGGGGCGTTTGCCTTGCACTTGGCCGACCCTGTTCGATCCTCAGCACCGCATACGGTCCTCCATCTACTCTCCCAGCCCCACCAGGAGTGAACCCTGAGCGCAAAGACGGGAGTAAGCACTGAGCACCCCCGGGTGTGGCCCCCAAACCAGAAGGTACTTTTTTAATGAAATGAAAATGAAGTTGAAGCTGTCACAGCTCTGCAGCAAACCTGGAGGTAGGGCACGCTCATAGCCCTATTCACGAAGTGCCGACTATGCCAGCAACTGCACAAAGCACTAGAATATAAAAGGCAAAACTCTGCTCTCGGGATCTTCCCATGGTTCACGAACTTACAGTGTCCTGGGTGGGACAGAGGAAGGGGACAGCGCTAAGCCAGATGCTGCATAGGGAAGGAGGTAAAAGGGCAGAGACTATTGAGGTCTACCTTAGAGGAAAACATACCGCTTTCAACACATACAGAGGGGTCAGAGATGAAGGCACGGGAGTGGGGTCAGGAACCTGTCTGGGGTGGGTTGCACAAGAGGGAGGTCTTGAAGGAGAGTGCGTGCGTGTGTGTGTGTATTGAAGCTGACTTTCTACAGAAAGACTATTACACAAGCGTGTGTGTGTGTGTGTGTGTGTGTGTGTGTGTATGTATGTATTGAAGCTGACTTTGTGCACAAAGACTGTTGCAATTCGGAAAGAGAACAGGAAAGCCAGACAGGAAACTGCTGGAATAATCTATGGAAAACAATCTGATTTCGTGGTAATAAAACGACAGAAAAATGAGAAGAGGGTGAATGGATTCAAATGACTTCAGCTGTGGAATCTTCAGGAGCTGGCAAAGGATTGCATTTCATTTTCCTACCTAATTATATTCTACTTAAATTATTATTTAAATTTGCTGGCATTCCTAGAGCAGCTCCAAAACATCCTAACTGAAAGGAGAAACCAGATTGTAATTAAACATGAATAATCCCCACATTGGGTAATTGAGTCAATTATACACTGTGTTGAAAACATACAAATGCATTTACATCCAGAACATTCCACACACCTGGTGGGGGGGCCTTACACGGGGTGCTCTCAGTCATGACTGACTGCAATCCTCGGAGACAAACACACACACACACACAGAGGGCCAGAGTGTGAGCATGTGACCACCCACAGAGGTGAGACTGGCACTCACAATCCTGACTCAGAAGGCCCCTGTCTTCTCCACTGGGCCACCCCAGAGAGTGGACTTCTTTCCAGGACTGCCCTTTCCTCGTCTTCAGCGCTCAGAAATTCCCCCTTTGACTCCATAATATCAGAACCAAAAGTTCCCTCAAGATCTACCCACACCCCGCACTCCTCCACTCCACCCCAGGAATCTATTTTTGTGCCCTCAGAGAGTTTGGGTCTCCAAGGGCCACATCTTCCTTTGCTCTTTGTTTAAAGGACTAGTGCTTGTTTGGGGGCATTGTGCTCTGCATAACTGTGCATATCCCTGACTGTTAAGACCGTGTGAGTCTCAGGTGGGCCAGCAAGAAAGGTCCCATCACACTTCCCCATTTTAGTGCTCAAAATAACAGAAACGAAGGCCATGAGGTTTCCTAACAGGGACAAGTCTTTCCCAGACCAAGGCACTGTGTGGTCCTCCAAGTGCTGCAGAAGTCATCCACAAACGCTGAGCCAAGAGGGGTCCCCAAACACTTCAAGGTAGCATTGCACTGTAGCACTGTCCTCCCATCGTTCATCGATTTGCTCAAGCGGGCCCAGTAACGTCTCCATTGTGAGACTTGTTACTGTGTTTGGCATATTGACTACGTCATGGGTAGCTTGCCAGGCTTTGCCGTACAGGCAAGATACTCTCAGTAGCTTGCCAGTCTGAGAGGGGTGGAGGAATCGAACCTGGGTCAGCCGCATGCAAGGCAAACACCCTACCCGCTGTGCTATCGCTGCAGCCCAAGCACTTCAAGGTGTGGTTCAAAAATAAAGACTTTTTTTTTGGGCTCTGTGACAGAGATGTATCCATGGTCTGAGTGCATGCAAAGTATACACTGCATGCAGAAGACCCAAGCTCAATTCCAGTGCTCCATGGTCTCTGAGCACTGCCAGGAGCAACTCCTGAGCACAGAGATGGAAGTGTGGCCCAAAAATAAAAAAAAGAAAGGGAGGGAGGGAGGAAGGAAGGAAGGAAGGAAGGAAGGAAGGAAGGAAGGAAGGAAGGAAATGCAATTGTGGAAGTCATGGATTCAGTCTGTAGCCATTGAGAGGATGCAGAAGGCCAACTATGGTCACTGGACAGCAGCTGCATCTAAGTGAACAAACCCTTGTTCAGCTCCAGAGTCAACTGAGATGAATCCAGGAATGCTAAGCAGGGAGATGAAGGCCCAGCAGAGATGAAGGGCCATTTAGACTGGAGCAAACCCTTAGTTCAAGGGTCATCCAGAATCCTTCCAACTGCTCCCTGAGTAGAACACTTGCTAGTAGGTGGAGACACTGAGTTCAATTGGCAGCACTACTCAGAGTATCTTTGGAGGTCTCAGTAACTCCAGACTGGCCTCAGAGACCCCAACCCCACTCAGCTCCTAGGGCACTTGGCGTTTGACTTTTTTGTCTAGACTTGCCTGAAGTTTGCCAGTGCTCACAGAACACAAGGTTCCCAATAAGAATGCACTGGAAAGGTCAAATGTAAGAATATCTCACTTTTTAACAACAAAGAAAAGTGCCTGAGAGCACAGTTCGGTAGTTTGAAGTGAATTCTACCTCCTGCTTCTCACTCCAGATGGACTCACAGCCAGAATATTCGTTGTTTCTGCTGGATTACGTGGGAAAGCATGCAGAAACAAATACAGGCTTGTGGGATTGTGCTCCAGATGTGCTGGACATTTATTGACTAGAGAATGGAGAGGAAGTGAGAGGGCAAATTTTTTTTTTCACAATTCCCATTTTCTTCTAACTTAAAGTGCATGTACATGACCAGCAGAGGGAGCCCAAACATACAAGAAATAATTTCTTTTTCAACCTAGTTTTAGGAAAAGCAGATTAATACCCAGAAAGTGCAAATGGCCCTCATCTTCCAAGATTATGTGCAAAAATCTAAGAATTATTTAATGATATTATTCTGCTAAGTATGGTATAAAAATGTTTAAAGCTAGATTAAGATGCTGAATCTACAATCTTTAAAGAAAAAAACATTCCTCCTTTCCTTCTTTTCTCACTTTTCTCTATGTGCTGGTGGTAGTGTGTGGGCCCAAAAGCTAGGTGGTATAGATTCTGTTTCAGTTAAAATAATCAACAGTGCTCTCAGCAACTCAAAGTTTTCCATGCAAGGCACACACACATACACACACACACATACACACACACACACACACACACACACACACACACACACACACCCCTGGTTCTTACTGGATACAGAGGTAGCTAAAATGAGCAGGCAAGACTCTTGCCAGTGCCTTCTGTCAGGCCTTCACTCTATCCTCACCGAGAAAAAGTGAGTATCTTGTGAAAATTGGTTGAAAATAAAATCTGCAACTCCAGCATCAAGTGCTTTCACTAAAAAGTCCAACAGGTATTTCCTGAAAATGCCACAAAGCTTTACAGAGATTAGAGAAAATAATTCCCAACTCCTTTACCTTGCTATCAAAGTCCAATAGGGGGACTTTTGCTTCCACAAAGCATGTTACACATATTTATTTCTATTCCTTCTGCTAATTCTAGCTTAGAGCTCTCACTACCAATAAAGCAAACACAAGACAGCTCCAAGGAACAGCAGGGTAGTGAGTGGTCTGAGTTTCCTTGGACTCCAGATAGCTCAGAAGTAGTTGGCTTGGTTTGGCTTACCCAACGGATCCTTAGCACAGAGTCTGGAAAACAGGAATTGCTCATAAGTAAATAACTGCAAGCATGTCTGAATGAATGGATGGACAGTCACAATGAGCAGACATAATAGTGTTTCTATTATTGCACGCAGGACTATTGAATGCACCACAAGGGAAAAACAGTTCAGTCCCAAGCTCTCTTAATCTCTTATATCTGACTAAAATATTAGGCAACTGAAAACTACACGCAGACAACCAAGTTACCGTGAAGGGGCAGAGATGGCGGAGAAGATGCTAAAACTGCTAACTAAAACACAAACACCAATTGCTGCTAATTTGGCATTAATGAGGATAGCAAAGTGACTTCTCTTCCACAGAATCAAGAAAAATATGGTGGGCTGTGGGAACCCATCAAACACCTGAGGAATATGATTTAAATTTTTACAAATTAGATTCAAAGTTATTCTGTAAATTAATGTGATAGGCCTCCTAGCTGTAAAACCTTGCATGAATGGTTATTGTGGTGACTTGGCTAACAGTTCATATTTTAATGATCTTCTGTGAAGTAGTTTTCCTTACAATTTCCATATATATTCAGGAAGACATGCCATCAGCAATAAAAGATAACTGAGCAGAAAGAGAAAAGTTTTTTTATACTGACAAGGCAATTTCCTTCACTAATGTAATCAGATAATACAGTGATCTTCCTTGTTAATCTGAATTTAGCTCAGATAACTAAAGAGCTTTATTCATTTTGTGATAAAATT